TAATAAGTTCTTACTTGAACAAGGATATTAAAGAGGGAAGATTGATACAACGCTTTCCATTAAACGTCGAGTAGAACCTACTTTAATCGTTCAAATTTATGTTGATGATATCATATTTGGTTATACTAACATGCAATCAGTCAAAGAGTTTTTTGAGATAATGTAGGGAGAGTAGGAAATAAGTCTAAGGGGGGAGTTAAACTACTTTCTTGGACTTCAAATCAAACAACTCAAAGAAAGAACATTTGTGTGTCAAACAACGTATTGCCAAGAGTTGCTTAAGCACTTTAGAATGGTACATGCAAAGTCAATTGACACTCCAATACCCATAGATGGAAACTTGGACAAAGATGAAAATGGTAAGGATGCTGATGTTGAAAGGTATAGAGGTATGATTGGATCTCTCTTATATATTACTGCATTTAGGCCTGACATTATGTTTAGTGTGTGCATGTGCGCTAAATATCAATCTTCTCTTAAGGAATCTCATTTAAAAGCCATAAAGCTCATCCTTAGATATCTTCATGGTACTTCTAAGTAGTATTTGCTCATGTTTATGCATCGTGTTGATTTTAACTCTTATATGGCACCTTTCCCCAATCGAAGTCACATGTAAAATTTGTTCTAGAGATAATTTCCCATTTCTTCATCTGAGAATCAGTCTGAAGCCCTCGACATGTGAGTAGAGTTCCTTAAACCCACTGTCCTCTCGACCAGAATTGCTGCTCGAAAAGTTGGACTCGAGCTTGTTGGAGTTTTCGGAGGTGCGCCCCACTACATAAAGGTGTAATAGAAATTGCCTTATACTTATATAAGGGTTTAACATGACACCCATCAGTTGTACATGACACTCCCCAAAAGGGTATGAAAAGACCAAACTATCCCAAATAAAATAATTTTCAAAAATTCCAAATTTCCAGTACCACACCATATTTTTCAAATTCACAAGGCGATACCAGAAATTTCAAGGCGATACCGGAGATATCACCTAGTAAGCAATTTATGGTATTTTCGCAAAATCATCGGTATTTAAAAATTTCTGAATTTTTGGTATTTCCTAACCGGAAATTATGAAATTTTTTATTATTGTGTTACATGTTATACCAGAAATTTTGAAATTTTTTGGAGGTTTACTTACTGTACCGAAAATTTCGAAAATTTTGGTAGTTCAATTTTTTTGAAAAATACCGAAAATTTCAAACTTTTCGGGTAGTTCATTTTTCTCCCTTTATTCTTTGTTTCAGTGAGGACCAAGGGAAAAGACGATTCCATTGCGGGCAGGACGATTGATAGAGCAGAAGCTCAGGTAGGGGCTGATGAGGCTCAAGCTTCCAAGCTACGGGCAGGACGACGTGCTATGACCGGTTCTCACTGGAAATAGATGACTGAGTAACAGGTGCAGTTTTAAGTACCTAGACGGTGTACTGCTAGAGTTTCTACTCCCGTGGAGGCTCTTACATGTGATCAAGACAACCGCCTATAATTTATTGCAGTTCATTTAGATAACCTCACAGATTTGGTAAATCCTAATGGTGAGATTTATATAGGTTTAGTTAGGTTAGCCGACATAGCCCGTGGGGGGGCTATGTAGATCTATTTTATTTTGGTTATATTATATGTATATTTTGTGACACACAAACTTCTTATTTATTGCATAATATTTTGGCGATTACATGTTTCAAATTGATGATGAACATAACATAAAACAATACAAAAAACATAAACTAAAAACAATTAAACATGAAAACCTAAGCACTACCAGATGATTATGGACATTTCAGCATCTTGATTATGTCGTCGACGGATCTTTGAATTTGCACATCCAACTCGATCGGACCTTTAGTTATCATATGACAAAATGATTTCCACATGGCTTTCACGTCTTCATCGGTTTTCAACTCAATCAGGTTGTATTTCACCCTTCCATTTGGATCAATCAAATCTTCCCAAAACTCGATCTTTGTCACCCTTCTGTTATTGGAATCAGGTAGCAATTCGTTCAACTTTTCTTTCTTGTTGGCAATGGACGTGGTACCATCTGGAAGCTTGAATTCATCAGGATGGTAGTTTCCGTTGTAATACACTTCTACCTTAATCAAAAATTGAGGAATAAGCATTTTTTGAATGTCTTTATCTATAACATATGCCTCTATTTATACAAATGGCGATGCATTCTAGACCATACAAATTTGTCGGTGCAATCCGAACCCTCCAAAGATATCGACAAAATCCTGACCGTTAAAAAACTCAAATACATGAACTACTGGAAATTTCAGTATATCTCAAATTTCTGTAACTGTCTGGTAAATTTGAAATTTTCGGAATACCAAAAAGTCCAAATACACTACCAGAAATTTAAACTAACCAGAAATTTTCCCAACACCGAAAATTTTCCCAGTACCGAAAATTTGAATACTTCTACCAAAAATTTCGTCCAAAAATTCTTTGTATCTCACCAGAGATAGTTTTAGAATAATGAAAATTGGGGAGTGCTATGTTTAATTTGGGTGTGTGATGTTAAATCCTCTACTTATATCATTCTAATTTTAAGCCCAATCCATTTTTTGGCCCATTATCATCATTATCTATCTATACAAATAACAATTTTAATGTTTTTTTACTAAAAAAAAAGATAAAAAAACTAAAACCCTAAAACAACACAGTCGCTCATAAACCCTCCCATCAGCGCTGCAGTTTGCCGTCGACACCAATCTCCGGCGAGCTTTCAGTTGCTTCAAACCACCACTCTCTTTGCGAAACTGAATTGTAAGCATGTTACATAGATTTTTTCCATTTTGCATATACCTTTTTTTTTGCTTCTTTCGATTCAAACCTCATTCGTTTTGATTGAACTTAACTTTTGCATATATGTCTTTATAGAAGTCCTAATTATGTAATTTGTTCAACAAAACCTAGTTACTGGTATGAAGTTTAAAGTTTATTTTTTTTGCATTTTTTGTTGTTGTTGCAGTTATTGTTGTTTGCAATTTCAATCATGACGACTTTACTGGAACTCATTAAGGATGCTTCTATCAATTCTAAATCACTTGATGTACATTCGGATTATCCGGTTGTTCTCAATCCAGATCAGATTTTGTCAAATTTAAAGTATGAACTTGAAGATGATTCTTCTTCGTACCCTATTAAACCCGTTATTGGATGGAAAATTTCAGAAACTGATAATGAAATCATTGAGATCAACAAAAAGTTTATGAAAGAGCTGAAAACGAAGGTTAAGAGTGCTGATAATTTGAAAAAGGATGAGTTTATTGGTAGGTTGATTTCATTTCTTGAAAGTATTAGGGAGAAAGTTGGGGTTTTGATTGAGATCGGTGGTTCCGCTGGTAGTGCTTATTGCAAGATTTTGATTGGCAAATTAGGATCTTTTGTTGGTAAAGATGTTGCTGGTCTGGTTTTGGATGGGTGTGTTTCATTGGAGATATGGGAATTGGTTGAAGCTTTGATTGTTAATGGTGTTATTGTGAATTCTTGTTATTCGAACTTGGTTGCTAAATTGGTGGAAAAAAAGAGGTCTGACTTAATCTGTTTGTGTTGTAAGCATGCTTTTGATCTCGGTGCATCAGAAATATTCTCCATTTTGAGGTATTTTCTTTCTCCGTCTAAAGATGCTTTAAGTTCTATGGTATCTATAAAGAAGGAGTGGGAGAACCAAGCATTGTTTGCCATTGAGAAAGCTAGTGATAGCAACCTCAAACGGAAGAATTCGATTGTTGCAAAGGAGGCTTCTATTTTATTTATGATGGCATACGATGGTTTCTCTGCCCCTGAACTTTGTTTGCATTACTTGGTTTCATCACCGAACATCAACAATGCAATATCATCCCCTGCATTCAGTAAGTTGAATGGCAAAGAGTTGTTGAACTTGATTCGCTATTTAGCAAAGTGGTTTAAGAAATATGAGAGATTTCCTCAAGCTGGTCCATGTCCGAAAGCCTCATTGGTTTTAGGTTTGGAGGCTTGCCATTGGATTCCTAAACTCGAAGATGTTGTAAAATGTCTTGGTTTTGTGCTTGATGAGAATTTTTCTTCACTGGTGTTACATCCACAGTTTCATGAAGAGCTGAGATCAGTTGAAGGAATGGTTAGTTGTTTGACAGCTGAAGCCAAAATTTGTAACATGGTGACTGCTGTAACCGAAAAACTGAAGATCGAAGTAACAAGAGGAAGTAAGTCCCTTCCAAAGGTTTATTATTGCGTTGGATGTAGTTAGTGTTTTTGTTAATTATTCAAACTCGACTCTTTTTTTCTTCTCTTTCTGTATACTCTTTTTATCTGAGTTTATGCTTTAACATGCTAACGCAATTTAGTATTATATTTGCAGGGGACAAATTGATATGAACATTTACTCATTGTACGACTAGTTATTCTACATCTGAAGACAAATTAAAAGAAAGCTCAATCATGTACTTCAATGGACCTGAGCAGGTAAACTTGCCATTAATATATGTGGTGATGGCAGAGCTCAATCATGTGTAATAGAAAAACAAATTGTGGTGATCTGGTAGTGGTTTGAACTTGAGCAGACCGGGCTGACAGACTGAACTACATATGTAACCGTTCCTGTTGCAATTTTGTTCACTATGACAAAAACTGTATTCGTCATTTGTTTCTTCTAGTTTCTTTTTTGATATCTTAAGTTTTGGTTGATTTTTACTTGGGATTGTGTTTCTCTGATGATGCCTATGGGGCAAGTTAATGATATAACAATTTTGGTTATATGCTCACACCTTTATTGCTATTTCAAGTTTAACATAGAAAAGGTTGGGAGTTTGAATTGAATGTTTTGATTCTTTTTCAAACATTTGATGCATAATGTTAGAACAGGAAGCGGTTTCTTTGGAACAAAAACTAGGACTTGGCTTTTAACAATAGGATGTTTAGTTAATTGTTTAAGCGTTTTTGTATTTCTCTTGTTGTATGAAAAATAAATTAATTTCTTTTGTAGATTATTTTTATTATGACTTAACTTTGGAAGATTATTAGATTATTAGATTGAAAAAACTGTTCACTGCATCGGTTACAATTTCTTTACTAGCTGACATAAGATGCGTAAACACTGCCTGTAGAACAGGTTTAACCTTCTCTTGATCATTCTGATCACTAGTTTGTAAGACTAGGACTGCATTTACATCACCAATTAGGTCGACAACTTCGGGAATGTTATGATTCACAGCTTTAAGCTCCTCAAGAGTGATAAATCCCCCAAGAGCCTCAAAATCTGTCATTGCTAGAGCCATCTCAGGTTTATGATTCCCATCTTTATACACATCAGGATGCAGTCTATGCAGCATCCTAGCCAATTCCTTATCAGGTTGAGCTTGTATAGATAAAGCCTTTCCCACAGACAACACCTTAAACCAGAAAGGTAGATCAAAACCCCATTTCTGAACAACTTTGTCACCAAGCAAATCAGGGTTATTAAAAATCCAATCTTTAAGTTTAACACTCTTCACCATCATTAGAAACAAGATTAGGTTTGGTTGAGCCTAAGGTAGACGTCTTCCAATTAAAGAAAGATAAAGAAGCGCCTGAATCGTGAGTACCAATCCAAAGTTCAGCATAAGGAATTGAAATTGAAATTATGGAATTGGACAAAAGTATGGAGAATCTTTAATAAAGGTAGTAGAATGTTGTTAACAGAGAGGGTACCTAATAAAGGCAAGACATTATAGGATAGCATTAGAGAACAGAGAAGCATATCATGGGTTTCTGTGATGTGATGGAATGGTGGTGATTGTGATTGTTACTGCACACGCCTTGGTGAGGGAGAGGGTGGTGAAGTGTGGAGCACGTGCTGGGTGGAGTGATTGTAAAGTGAGAGCATAAACTGCATGCAAATTATAAACGTTGCAGCAGCTTTAAGTGCAACCGAAGAAATAGATACTGCCATCAAAAGCTCGAAGTCATGATCCTCATCGTTTATGATTGTTAGTGGGGTATATAGACGGCAGGCAACTCTACTCTTGTTGGTATGACAGATGCACCCTTTTTTACACTTTTGTATAATGATTCTATAGATTATTTTTTAAAAATTTTAGGATTTAATAAGTTTTTGATTCTTGTTAAACAAAAATTTACGAGTTCAAAATAAATATCCGTGTACTTGTCGTGAACACGATAGTAGTAACTCTATTAATGTTTGACAACAGTGTGTCTCTAAGACCGTGATTTGTGAAAAAATAATCTCTCAATCTAGTCTTTGAGGTCAGTATATATAGTCCTCTTTGACAGTGAAACGTACATAAGACATTTTTTCGAACGTGATCAGCCTGATTCCGCTCCATTAAAGACCGCGATAGGTGACTCATTTTCTAGTATGAGAGTTTCGAATTCATTTCCATGTGCATTAAGATTGGATTATCTAAACGAGAGTTATCATTGAGTCTGTATGTGTTTCATCTGCATCTTAGGTGAACTATGGTCAGTGTAAAATGGAATCTCCAAAAGAGACATATCAACAGATGGAGCAATCCCAGATCGTGCCGCCCCAAGACGACTTTTACCCAAACAGAACCACAAGGTGTATTTATTCTATCTGCATTCCTTTGATGGCTATCATTCACGAATTTAGCATTCAGATGCTCTACTAATACAACATGTGTTGTCATCTTTAACATATAGCGTGCATCCTATACATTGTGTACAATTGTAACAGGTTTCAATCAATTTGTATACAAATAAAAGTAGTTGAAATTAATAGATACATTTTTGAAGAATTCAACAAAAGAGGTAGTCTTGCACAATTACTTCTATAACACCAATCATGATATTGCTTGTGTTCAATTATCGGTAACTAGTTCAAAACAGACATTAAACATAGTTGGCTTGATTTGTACATGCAGCTAGAGAAAACATAAACCTCCTCAAATCCAACAGTCTTATTCATCATGTTAGATTCGTATCCATAGACATTTAACCTTTAACCTGACTCTGCAAAGCACCACCGAAGATGCAATATGTCATAAATGAAGACATTTAAGCCTTAATATACATGTGATGTAGTTTTTGAAAACAAGAGCACTAGATCAAGTTGGTTGCAAAAATGATTGTTGAGAAACTGAACCCCTATATAAAGTTGAAGTTGAATACGATTCTGGAAGAGGTGAGAGCAAGGTTCTCCACTTAAATTTTAAAATGCAAGGCATTCAAAGCTAGACAACTTGCAAGAGGAGTTATGGAAGAGGATTCTAAGGATGACAAATGGAAGCATAGAATATGTTTAAATGATAATGGATAAATTAAAACAATAAATATTTTAAAGAAAATTCAATTTATCCATTATCATATTTTCAATGGATGGATATCCACTCTTTCTTGAAATTAATTTAAATATTAAAATTATTAAAATTATTTGTTTTAAAATTTATAATAAATGAATTTTTTAAACACACTCTTTCTCTTGGTTTGGGTTAATATGGATATTCGATAAAAAAATATTTTAAAAGTGGAGTTTCAAAAGTGTTTTAAAAGGTTAGAGAAAGCGTACAATAAAATTTATAATAGTTTGGTGTATCGTCTACACTTATTCTAAACTCCAATGACAAGTCATTGGAAATTATTGAGTGTTACACTAATAGAAGATTTATAAGTGTATTTTAATACAAGATATACAAACAAACTAAAAATTTAAAGTTAATTGTTAACTAACACATATTTAAATTTTGATTCTTCTTCTAATATATACATCTCAGTAGACTGTAAATCCTTCGAGATCTTCATTCTTGACTATCTTCTTAGAATCAAAGCACTCCAAGATTTCATCTACAACAACTTTCACCCGACATATCAAAATTTCGTTGTCCGATTATTTAAACTTATTAAAGGAGTTAGAACTCTAAGATCTATTGGAGAAGAAACTTTTTTTTCCATTGATTGTCAACCTCCAGAAATCACAATCACAATCAAATACTTCAATTTGAAAAAAAAAATTCTTTACAAGAACATTATAACACCTAATGTATCACCTCATAACTATAACCCTCATTTTCTCTTAGAGCTGAGTAACACTCAACAATGATGTTTTTGGCTAGAGGTTAAAGATAAAATTTTTTAGAAAAATCTCACGCAACACTTATTCACACTTAAGAAATTAAGATTAAGAAAAATTATTCTTCAAGGTTAATTTGAGAAAGAAAATTTATGTGATTAACAAAATACTCAAGATTCTTCAAAGATTACGAAAGTTATACAATGTTATTTGTAATTTTTTTAGAGAGTAACCATGTGATTTTAGAATGAATTTATTCATCAAATAATTTAAGAGAAGCCAGTTTTTGAAACCAATTTCAGAAATGAAATACAATTGTTATTGTCATATCAACTTGAGACATGTTTTTAACATTAAGATGGATAGTTTTTGTCCTAATCGATCTCAAATTCGCAACACTATGACAATGAGGTATTATCCCTTTTGAGTGTGAGAATTAAGGTTTTGCCTTTTAAAAACAACGTTTGATTGAGTTGAGATATATGAGTGTTGTATATAAATTACGTTGTCTCAATTTCGAAGTAATGTGTAACTATTTTGGCCAATTCAAAATAATTACCCCCGATTGAGACTAAGAGGCAGAATATAAATTTTGAATTCTTACCGATGATGTCAATGTTTAAATCGATCTCAAGTCTGTACCACTGCAATTACGAGATTCAGTTCGCTTTGAGTATGGAAATTTTCAAGACTTTATTCTTTGGAAACGATATCCCGTTAAATTAAAGTATAGTATGTGTTTTGTAAACTTCTAGTAGTACCTTTAGTCTTGATTCCCAAAACAATGAGAAAATTTGGCCAATAAAGAACAACTTTATTTCCATCCTCTCTAAAACTCTAAATCTCGACCATATGAAAAGTTTTACTATAGCTTCTTGATGATGTGATTGATTTTGTTAAATCAAACTGACTAATGGCATCCTAAAAATTTTTGTCCAAAAATAATATACACTATTAATTAGTTTTTTTTATAAACAACTTTGTATTCTAATAAGAGTATTAGGGATACTTAAATCCAAATACAGAAATAACGAACAATATTAATAACATCAACGTAAATTCAAAGGAAATTTATGGAACATTTACACCACTCATAGAAATTAAATTCAATCTCTTAGAATGGATCAAGAGTCACTACCATGAAAACATCTTAACTCTAAATACTAAATTCTCTTCATTATTAAATATTTTTACCATTCCTCAGCCTCCAAATGCACTAGCACACTTCTAACCAAATAAACCACTCTCTTCCTTTAAACACTTTTCCCGTTAAATAAGTCTGCAACTTCAAGAAATGCTTACAGCAATTGTCGCTATTCGCACCTATCTCAATTGGCCCTTGAAGGTCCAACCAACTAAAAACATGTTTCCATATTCTCCTAGTCATTTGGAATTGCAACATAACATGTTGGATGTCCTCATCAAACCTGTTACAAAAAGTACAAAAAATTTCATCCCCACTAAGTGAAATTCCTCTTCGTACAAGTTGAATCTTCGATGGTAGCCTGTCGTAAAATAATATCCACCCAAATGTCTTAACCTTACGAGGAATTTTAGTTTTCCACATAACCTTCAGTGCCTTCTTCATTTCACCGTCTATTCCATTATCCATTTGCGACTTTATCAACTTCCAATAGCAACTTTTAACAGTAAAACCAAAACTTTCGTCGTATGGCCACACCACCCTGTAATTGTGGTCATAGTTTTCACCACCCTGTAATTGAGGTCATAGTTTTCGATAATTGAAAATTTCCACGTGTTTGATTTAAGGGTTATAAACTCCAAATCTAATTTAAATTTCCTCCATTAAGTTTTGTGGCGTAAATATACTGTCAAGTGTCATAGTCTAACATTTTCAGATGATTTCAGTGGAGAAAAGGTTAATGATTAAGTTTTTACATTTCCTGTTAGATTTTGGATTTAAGTGAAAGACAATAGTGAAGTTGAAACAATGAAACAGATGGACTATCAATATTATTGTTTTTATCCATTGGGAATGAGTATACATTAGACATACATGAACATTAATAACGAGAAGGCTTGTCTAGTGCTAATAGTGAACTAAATTAAAAGTTTTATCCTAATAAGCGAAATATATTTTTTATGTATATCTTTAACATAATTTTTAGGGTCAAATATATTAGAGTAACTCTAACGAGGAGTTTTCTCAAAATTTCTACACCTTACAAACATAATAACATTTAAATTGTGGGTCAAGTTCAAATAAAATTGTAAATAAATAAAATATTAATATATAAAGTAAAATTGTGGTGTTCAATATGATTTTTTAGAGTTGTATTATTGAAGTGAAAATTAGATGAGTTATTTTAAAATGATATAGTTTAAAGTATCCCACAAAGAATCCAAATATAAATAGCACCATTGAAGATGCTCTTAGGAGTCCCTATAAATATGACAACTTTCAATTTTAGTTCCTACAAAAATTTTCTTCAAATAATAGTCCTCACAATA